AGAAAACTTTGACCCTGCTTCTTTTAACAGTAAGCCTTGGCCCTTTGTTGGCTTGTGTGATTTGGTTTTATTTGAATTTGAAACAGTGAGGATATGATCAAAAAGCCAGTACTTTATATTCCAACCTTGAGTTTTACTTCTTAGCCTCCCTTCTATGCCATTGTAATAATCCATTTACTTCTTAGCCTTACTTCTATGCCATTGTAATAATCCATTTGGATGGTTAAGTACTTGAGATTTTTTTCTTATTAAGAAAGAACAGAACTCTTATGGACCTCTAGTCAAGATGGCAGAGTAGGAAAACTTTGTGCTTGCCTCCTCTCACAATCACATCAAAATTACGACTAGTTTATAGAATCATTAGGATCCACCTGAAGACAAGCTGAACAAAAGTCTTAAAATTGAAAATATAAAGCAGAAGCCAAGAGGAGACTGGTAGGAGGGGCAGAGACACAGAATGGGCAGGTCCCACACCCTCATTATAGCAATTAAAAATTAGGAGGACTAGCTTAGCAGCAGAGGTCTCCCCTGAGGAGCAAGAGATCCCAGCACCACACAGGGCTCCCCAGCCCAGATCACCAGTGCCAAGAAGAGGAGTCACTGTACCATCTGACTGTGAAACTGTTAGAGATTGCATCTGAGTGAGACAAGGGCCGCTGGAGACCTAGGTGTCTTCTTAAGGGACATGCACATAGACTTACTCACTCACAAACTCACTCACTCTAGGCTCCAGCACTGGAGCAGTAGTTCAAAAAGCTCCAGGACACACAGGGAGAAATTAATTTGACTAGCTGCAGGGCTAGATTTGGAGGGGCAGGGGTCAGGGCAGCTCTCTCCAAGGATGGCAGTGCTGGCAGGAGCCATTATTTCTTTGTTGAGTGCTCCTCCCATACAGCCAGCCCAGTACAGGCAGGCAACAAATCTGTGCTCTCCTTTAATCTGGCGCCTTTCACCCTGCCCCGCTGATTTCCTGAAAACCTGCCCTACCCTACTTACATGCTCAGTTGGAGCCACTTCCAATGGCTTTTTCACTGAAGCACTCTGCCTCAGCTCATGCCGTAGACTTTCCTAAAATTTCTCAAATGTTCACAAACCCTAAATAAGCAGTGGCTGGTTTTGGCATGCCCTATACCTCTTGCTATGCAGCCTCAAGCCTGACATGAGGCAATTAGTCACAACTTGCATTGTAACTCTCACCGGGAGGTCTCAAGCCTGGCATAGGCTGTGGCCTATGCTGGCTTGGAATATAAGGCCAACTAAGTGGTCACAAGCCCAGCACAAATGGCAGCTAAACTAAGCTCATATTGTGGTGTCCACCAGGGTCCCAAACCTGGCACCAGTGTTAGTTCACAGTATAGCTACTCCCAAGTGCCTCTAAGCCCAGCACTAGCAGCAAGTGACTGCAGTTCAATTTGTAGCTCCCATGAGGTGGTCACAAGCAAGGCACAAATGGTGCCTGAACTTGGTCTGCAAAAGAATCCCTCCCAAGAGGCTCCGGAACCAACACACCTGGTGGCCGGCTTCAGACCACCAGAGCACCGCCCAATGAACTCCACAATGTCACACCCAAAGAGTGGACTCGGCTGGTACCCAAGCCACACTAATGCAAATCCTGCTTTGTGAGGTCAGCCTCACACAATAGTTTGTCTTCTGTAAAAACAGCCCAAACTCACAGACAGCCTGAGGCTCAACTCAACTGAATGATGTGCCAACAGCAGCCAAGTCTCAACTATAACAGGAGGGCACACATATCCTACACAGGCATGACCCTGGAGCACCTGGCTCAGGTGACCAGGGAGACTATGTCGCTAGGTCTCATAGGACACATATTATAAAAGGCCACTCTAACAAGACTGGGAGACATAGAAGATCTAATACATATAAACAAACACACAGGGAGCCAGCCAAAATCTGAGGAGACAAAGAAATATGTGCCAAATGAAAGAACAGGACAAAATTCCAGAACAAGAATTAAACAAAATGGAGGCAAGCAACCTACCAGATACAGAATTCAAAACACTGGTTATAAGAATGCTCAATGAATTTGGAGAATGAGTAGATAAAATCAGCGATAACTTCAACAAAGAGATACTATAAAAAGGAACCAGTCAAAAATCAATAATATAATAACTGAATGTGGAATACATTAGCAGGAATAACGATCTGATTAGATAAGGCAGCACAGCTTCAATAATCTGGATGTCAAGGTAGCGAAAAACACCCAATTGGGACAACAAAAAGAAAAAGAATCAACAAGAAATGATGAAAGTTTAAGGAACCTCTGGGACAACATCAAGTGGACCAATACTCGCATCATAGGGCTATCAAAAAAAGATAGAGCAAATGACTGAAACACTATTTGAAGAAATAATGACGAGAAACGTCCCTAACCTGGAAAAATAATAGACATATAAGTCTAGGAAGCACAGAGAGTTCTAAACAAGAGAAACACAAAGAGGCCCACAGCAACACATCATAATTAAAATGCCAAAAATTAAAGACAAAGAGAGAATCTTAAAAGTAACTAGAGAAAAGCAGTTAGTTATATACAAGGGTGCTCTCATAAGACTAACAGCTGATTTCTCAGTAGAAACTTTTGCAGGCAAGAGATTGTCAAGAAATATTCAAAGTGATAAAAAACAAAGACCTACAACCAAGATAACAGGTAAGGCTATCATTTGAACCAAAAGAAAAAGAAAGTGTCCCAGACAAAAAAAAAGTAAAAGAGTTCATCACTACTAAATCAGTATTGCAAAAAAACGTTAAAGGGCCTTCTTTAAGAAGAAAAGGTCGAAAATATGAATAAGAAAATGTAGGAGAGAAAAAAATTCTCACTGCAAAGGCAAACAGTAAAAGTAATGGATCAACCAACTATAAAGCTAGTACAAAGATTAAGGCAAAGGTAGGGAGATCATGTGTAATTACAACAATAATTTAAGGGATATACAAAAGTAAAAAATAATGACAAAATCATAAATGGGGAAGGAGTGAGTAAACTTTGTAGTGATTTTAGAATGTGTTCAAATTTAAGTGACCATCAACTTAAAATAAACTGCTATAAACATAGGTTGGTGTATATGAAAATAAACTGCTTTAACATAGGTTGGTGTATATGAAGCACATGGTAACCATAATCCAGAAATCTATAAGAGACATATGAAAAATAAAGAAAAAGGATTCTAAAAACAACACAATAGAAAGTTGTCAACATGTAAGAGACCAAGAAGATGTACGAAAACAATCACTAAAATGGCAATAATTGCATACCTATCAAAAATTACTTAAAACGTCAATGAATTAAATGCTCAAATAAAAAGATAGAGGGTGGTTGAATGAATTAAAAAAAAAAACAATACCAGTACATATATTGCTTATAAAAGGGCCATTTCAAATCAAAAGACACATACAGATTGAAAGTAAAGGGATGGAAAAAGATATTTCATGCAAACATAAGTGGAAAAAAAAAAAAAAAGCTGGGGTAGCAATACTTATATCAGACAAAACTTGAAAAAGAAATTTTGGTTTCACCTTAGTCAAGATTCAACTAAAGTTCTTTGTGTATTCCAGGTATGGAAATCTAGAAAGCCTAAACAAGGTTGGGGGTCAGTATTTGTTTGGAAAAACAGTATTTTCTAAAAAATAACTAGTAAAGGAATTCATCCATGTTTTGCTTCTGAATAGAAGTCTAATTGCCAACTTCTTCGATAAGGCCTCAACAATTCTAACCCACAATAAGATTCTTTTACAACATTTTTCCCTCTGAGTCAGTGTCATGTGGTTAAATATTTTATTGAACAACTTAAAAATTCTTGAGGGAATAATTAACGTAGTACTGAGTTGAGAGTTTGAGCTCAGTCAAGTCGGATTGACTGATGGCTTAAATGGTTTTACATATATCAACTATATCAACAGATATCATCTAGAGTGTTATAGGACATGTGGCAAGATGAGAAAACTATAAAACTTGGGGCAAACAAGTGGAATTCAAGTCCTAGCTTATACATTTCTATCTTGTGGCATTTAGGGCACACTACTTAGAAACTCAAATTCTTCATTTTTCAAATGTGATGAAATATTAAATGTGATGCTGTTTTTAAATTACAGGGTGCTTGGAACATGGGAAGTGCTCCATAAATGGGCAATAGACTTAAGTCTGGATATGTCAAAGTAGGTTTATGTATAAGGGGAAAAAAGGGTGTTATGGGGCAATGATCTAAAGAATTGATAATAAAGCTTTCCTAAATAGGTACCCTCAGGTCTGTTGGAGGAGTAGCAGACTTGAAGGCAGGTAAATGAACTGGAAGACTTTTCAAGGTTCACTTCAACTTTCTAAGGGGTACCATGACATTCTCAGGAGACCAGCTCTCTAAGAGGGAACTAAGCAAGGAATTTCTCATGGTTCCCATGCCTTTAAAGTCCAAGATTAAACAGTCCCATCCAAAAAGACAATACTATGTAAGAGCTACGGCAAAGCAATATCAAAGGAAAATAAATAGGAAAGATCAATAAAAGATGAAATAAAGCACAAAGAAATCAAATACTTTGATAGGTCCATTCTGCAAAGCATAAAGCAAAACTAGTCGATGCTTGTTTTCATAAGCATTAGACTCATTTCCAAACAACTTTAATAGCCCGGCACAGAGAATAACAAAGAAGACATCATTTACCAGAAGGCCTTGTACTATCATTACCATTTGTTCAGAATGCAGTCCACCTGTCTCTGACTACTGGAGACAAATCTCTGATTGGCTTCTCTGCTGTGCAACCCCTATGCTCTGCAGTCTCTTCTTAACCCTATACCTCACTTTTCACTAAGAGCAGGTTTGCTTGCCACTCAGCATCATCATTAGCTATAGCATTGATTAGGATAAGAGAAGACTTCTCAGGAACTACAGGACACACATGAGTTAACAAATTGCGGGAAAGAGGTAGGGAGGGAAAGAATAATGGGAGGAGGAGAAAGAACAGTTAAAATTTCTGCTGAACAACATTGGTCTTACCTTGCAGGAACAGACAGAACACCTATCTTCTTTCAGGGTCCACACCTGCCCATTGCGCTTCAGTCCTCCTTCATGGGGGCAGTCACCAGAGCAGGAGGGCCCAGAGGGACAGAGGCAGTCGAAGCCCCCTGCTAAGTTGATACAGGCAGAATCATTCCAACAGGTATGTGTTCTTAAGGCACATTCGTCAATGTCTGCAGTAAAGAAAACACAGAGCTTTAGAATCTAATTATTAGAAAATAATAATCATTTACAATAGCATTAATTAACATTATTGAGCATCTATCTTGTGGCAGGTACTGTGTCAATGAGTTCACATGCATTACTTCATGGACTCTACAAGGCAGCTCAGTGTTAGAGGATTTGTTAACTCTATTTTGCAAATAAGGAAGCTGAGGCTTACAAAAGTTAAATATCGTGCCCACTGTCAAAGAGCTAGCAAGTGGCAGTCTGAGACTCAAACTCACAAGTGTTGGACGCCAATTACTGAAGTATCTAATAGCAGTTGTAAACTAGGTTTAGGATATTTTAAAAAAACTATACCCTCCAGAGACTATAAACACTTTAATGCATTAACAGTGTGGATACACCTATGGAGATCTCTGAGTCTTTTAGAAAAGGTGTGAATAGATTAGCCACTGAGTAGGAACAAGTGGGCAATTAGGGCAACCCTGAGCCAAATAGACTGCTCCCAAGTCCTGGGGCCAACAATGAAAGAAGAGGGAGTAATTCTTTGTAGGTGCTTTCCTAATCAAGCCTCACCATCCTAATGGCCAGCAGCATTTTTGCCCACATAAGAAAATGTCCCAGAGCTCCAGTAGTTTAAGGTGTAGGTGTTAATGAAAGACACACATATATGTAGCTGTTTTTCATTGATAACCAGGTATGGAAGGAAAACATAAATCCAGTTAGTCCTCTCTGACATTCAAAGGTCAAGTTAGCTTAACAACATCTCAAACACATAGCTGTCTGGCCCTAGCAGGTGCTCTATTACCTCACAAGGCAGCCAGTTCCATCAATGAGTAACTTAGAAATGTCTTCCTTAAATTGGTACTAATTCTGAGAGCACTCACACAATGTAATATATAGATTATGTATTATTGAATTGTATACTTGAAACCTATATAATTTTATTGACCAATGTCACCTCCAATAAATTTAATTAAAAATCTACTTGATTTTTCTTATTTATGACAATCTTTATGCTATTTGAATACTTTAGTCATTTGTCTATCAGAGTATTCTACTCCACTGATTAATTTACTGTCATGCCCTTCAAATATCTTTCAGATGACAACATTGATTCCAATAAATTTTTACTAGAAGTCTGCTCTGCACAAGGTTCTGCGTACTAGGTGCTATAAATATTCACCATAACGTAAGAGATTGTCCTCATATAGATAATAAGGAGGAACACAGGAGTACACGTAGATAACAATTCATAGGCTACTGATTGGAAGGCTTAACTCTGATAGTAAGTTAGAATAGGAACAGTGTCAATTAACTTATTCTACATCCTAAATTTCATGTTAAATATGTATAAGGTTGCAGGCATTTGGTTAAGGATTATGGACTAAAGAAAAAATAATTGTCAGTGGCATTTTCCCCTAAAGTGCTCAAAGCAATAAAGTGCTCAAAAGCATAAAACCAATTTTACTGCTAACCTTATATTTATATATTGTTTCAAAGTTTTTAAAAGCTTTTTCTTCCCATAGGTCATGCCATATAATTGCAAGACGGAAATAGTTATTCTCATTTTATGAAAGAAGAAACTGATGTACAGATATGGCTAAGGGGTTACACGGCTAGTACATGTTAGAGCAAGGACTGTGTCCTGGGTCTTCTGATAGACACACTAGAGTTCTTTCCAGTAACTGTGCCAACTCAATGTCTAAAGTCATCTTCCAGCATACTAGAATGTACTGTGGTTTTATCTACTTTCATGTATTTACCCTCTAGACATTGCAACTCATTTTCAAGGAAAAACTCTTCTACGAATCCTCCTTAGTATTTTTAGTTGAAATTCTGAGAATGATATAACAACTCTGTCAAAGTTTGCTAAAATTCTGAAACTGCTGTGACTCAAAAATAATGAGAAATAAATGACCTATTTTTCCTGACTGAATGCATGCACTATATTGGTATAAAACTTGGCTTCACAACAGGAGTACACAGTAGAAGATGTTAAGGAATTCCAATAATATGTCTAGAAGCTAATTCATTCTAAGATTTACCTTTTGTCTTTGTCCCACCAATTATAGCTTCAGTCGATTAATTTTACATATGATGCCAATTCATAGTTACCATTCATCTCCTCTGAACTCCCACTGTAATGACAGTAGGTGGCATACAGCTTACTATTCAGGTATATACCACCTTGGAACAATACTAAAATATTACATTTGCATTACTCTCCTGTTTTTGCTTTAACAACTAAAACATTCGATCTTATACTTCTCTCATCATTTTTGTATTGAGTCTAGGAGATATAGAGAGTAAATTGACAGACCGATGGCTCGGCACATACGTAATCATAAAAAATAAAATTCAGTGTTAAATTCAGTGTCTATCATATCATATCAAAATAAAATTCAAATTCTGTGTTAGCGCATAACTTCATACTTATCACTGGGAGTATTCTGTTAGCCTCGTATCTGGTCTCTCTGACTTCAGCTACTTCTCACTCTAATCCAGTGATTTTTTTTTTTTTTTTATTGTGGGTCCAATAGATACATTTGGCAACCCTTTAAAAAGTACTGGGGCCCAGGCTCACCACCACGAGAGACTGATTTAATTGGTGTAAAGTAGGATCCAGACATCTGGGATCTGTTCTGCTAGATGAGAATCGTTGCTCTAAATACCTTGCACAGGGGAGTGGTGTTCTAAAAAGCAGATCTATCTATGTCACTCCTCTTCTTACCACCTCTCAGTGGTTCTCTGATGCTTATAACAAAATATTCAAACTCCTAGCATATCATATGAGCCCCAATCTCACACTTCAAGTGTTACCTTCTGTTTCTTCTCTTTTCCGTTCCAAAGCAATGGGTGATACACAGACCATGTTATTTCCTTTACCTGTGTCTTAGAACATACCTTTTCCTGTTACTCTCCCCTTCTCTAGCTCTACTTTTTCTTAGTTTATATGGAATGGAGTGGAGTATAAGTTAATTGATAAGGTAAGCTATCAATTATTATGCCATCTTCGTTACCATTTATTCTTCAAAATCAGGATCAAACGTCACCACCCCTCATATTGCAAGACAGTTAATATTGACTTTTTGTTTTCTCTATATCTTATATGCAATGCTGTCCTTGTATTAACTTCTCAGAAGTTACATGTTTAGGCTAGCCATCTCCAAAGAGGGCAGAAACTAAATATTTTCATTTTTTTCTTCTCAGTGCTAAGTATAACATAATATACTGTGGATGTTCAATGTATTTATTTAACATTTAAATTCGGGAAATTTACAGACTGATACTATTATAGAGCCCACTTTTACCAAAATTTGTTCTCTGGGTTGTTCACTGAGCCTAAGGCATAATCACAACCCTTCTCTTCAGGAAATACATTTTATTGCACTTTCATCTGCAAAGCCCTTGGGTCTGGTTCAAAGTGTGATAAAAACAGCAAAATAGGAACCACACTGAAATAGCAAGGCATCTTTACCTCTTTTCTCCCCATCCCAGTTTCTTGTGAAATGTTTGAGGATAAGGGCAGAGGAAGACCTATTAACAAATCACTCAAGAAATTGCCTGGAAGAGTATTTAAACAGACCCAGAAACAGTGGCTACAAAGAGATATTTAATCCATGGTATCCTCTAAAATATAATCTCTAAATTGGCAATTAATGCTCAACTATAATATGCTTTTATAACAATTGCTTATTTTACATTACAGAGTTGCAAACATATTGGCAGTGTTTTTGTTTTTTTCTCTCATAAATTAAGAAACCTGAGCATGCCCAATAAAAACAAGGTACAAAACCTAGGGTTGCATTTGTTGTTCCAGAATGAAAGAATTTCACAGTTGAATATAGGGCCATATTGCCTACAGAGTTCCATGTAATTGCTTTACTTATGACACAGAAATCTAATTCTGCTTCCATGCAATTTAACAGATTTATGGAAAGCCAGATGTTAGCAATTATGGAAACCGACATTATTCATATTCTTGGTAATACAGACCTGTTTGCTCTGCACAAACCAACTTAATCTATTATACATATCCCAAGGCAACCAAAAGGAAGAAGCACCCTATTTACATATTGTAACTGTTGTTCTCTGCTGAGCAAACACAAAGACATTCACCCATGATACTTACCCAAGTCATCAGATAGACCTCCAATGACAGAGAGGCAATGAAATGAAAATCAGGCAAAATATTCCAAACTCAAATCTATAATCATTAAAGTGTACTTGTTTTTTCTCATTGTAAGTAACGGCTTTCTGAGATTTCCTTGTGTTTCTCCTTGTAAATTCATTATTTAAATGCTCCATGCTCAGATGAGAATATTTTCAATAAAATTCCACTGCTAAGCTTACATTAAACCTAATTTTCTTGAATTGACATTTTTACAATTTCTGAAAGCTGTTATTATTGTACTTAATTTTGCTTTAAAAAATGTCTGGTTGTGCCTAGTCAATCTGCTTTGTTCTTTAATTTGAGGTTCTTAGGTTACTTGAGCATGTAAGAAAATACAATTCAGAGATGTTTATGTCAGCAGCAAGCAAACTAATCCCAACCTAGCCCCAGACAATTTTCCAGCCCTTCAAGAAAAATGGCTCTGCGGAAGTTTTAATAGCATAACAACTGTAATGGTACCTGCCTCAGGAGCTGGAGCTCCTACACATTGATTTCAGAGATCAACGGGAACATTTTTTTCTTAGTAGTTTGGTAGCGGTTAGGTCAAAAGAGAGAACTTCTTATTGCCGTATATTCCTCTTTCTTGAATAACTTTCACAACACATCTAGTTTTACCTTCAAACTCAAAACAGGTGATATGTCAGAAAACAAAATTTAACCTGGGGTTTGAATATCCAGCTGTGTGTATTCTGACGTGGAAATCATTATCAGACATTAGTAGCTTGGAAATGAGAACAGAGCTTGGGGGTTTATTAATGATAAACAAGGTAGAGCACAGATGCCTCTCCATAGCCAAAGCAGTATTGTTTCTTTTACAGTGGCAGAAAGAAA